GATCCTGTAAGGTCATTACATCTTGATCTGGTTGGAATTCCTCTCTGGGGTGAGGACGAATTATAGTAATATCTTTCAGTCCTGGGATTCTATCTCGAAGGAAATGTTTCAATTCTGCTAACGTATTCGTAGGTTGGAAAGAGTTGGAAATATGTGAACCATCAGGAAGTGTAAATTTGATTCGACAATTATTGCTTATAATTTGCCGTTTTGTGACTATATTATCAGTAACCTTTGGCTCAGATTTCTTTACTGTAATCATTGGCATAGGTTTGTCTTCTTGAACGATCTGTTTTTCAGTTTTCACCGTTTCTAAAATAGGTATTGGTTCGGGTTCGGGTAAGTTCACTAGTTCATTGAGTGGGTAGTAAACTTGATTGCTGTCATTTCCTCTCCCAATGTTCTCGAGGGAATATTTTAAAATTTTGATTAAATATTCCTGCGAAATTTCTCCCCTTATTGCTTCAACCACAACACCGTTTGAGGCTATAAAACATATGAAAGGGGGTGTACCCAACTTGTAAAAAGCCGCGAAATCATTGTAATTCTGAGAAGGAAATTTTATATCAAGCGTAATGGCATTGTTGTTACATAAAACTGTTTTCACCTGATTGGATTCAAAAATATTTTCATAGAATTTTCCATCTGAAATAATTGCGATAAGTAAAGAACCTGTTGATTTCACCTTTTCTATAAAAGATGGAATGTTTGTATTTTCACTCTTTCCACTCGACATCTAAATCGTATTTATCGAGTAATAATATATTTTTGGATGTATCTTGTGTATATTACTTTCAATAGGCTTTTTGGCTAGCTTAGAGAAACCAGTTTGATGCACTAATGAAAATCTTTTCAAATAACTAATTTTTACAAAGTGCTGAGAGATGAGAATTATCTCATCTCCAGGGGCAATAACTATAGCTGATTTTATCTGAGAATATATTCGTATTTTATTTTAGAGTTTCATCTAAATTTTCATCAGATGATTTGTTTACGAGTTATTTATGTATTTATTCGATTATATTGTTTTCGCACATATATCTGACATTTTCCAACAAAAGCAGTTAGCCATGAAAGAAACTATAAATGACAATCTTTATTCCACAAAACAAGATTGAAATACTAAAGATAATAGATTTATAATTGAGTTTTTGAAACTCTCACTCACTTCTCAGGAAAACGAAGCAAGTTTATTTATGCTATTTGTATTTATTCGACAGATTTCCAATATAAATTCTCATTTAGCTACTCAATGACAGAAATATATATATTTTCTAACAAATTTCTTACAGCAATCTCTTAGGAAAACATCTCAAAAGTTCAATATTTGTATGTTCTATAATTCTGTATATATTCACATTTTCACACCATTTATTTTGTACACATGACTCTGCATTTACCACCTAGAAATGTCTTATCGTAATGATGGAAAGAGTTATTACAAAAAAGAATACTATTCTAAAAACCCGAATAATTGGAGTAATAACAAATCACAAACGGACAGGTATCATTATTCCAAGTATGAACAGAATCAAAGGAAAAGTTACCAAACGAAAGATTCTTATTCAAATCACACAAAGAGCCATCACTCGGATTATAAAGAATATAAACAAAGTTTCGAGAACTCAAAATACACAACAAACTCGCGAAAATCCGCAAAAGAACCTTCAAATTCATCTCGTAAGAAGCAATCATGGAGTATTGAGAAAGATGGCGAAAAGCGCACTGAGAGAAGTTTCCTAGACTATATCGGGGTTGAGACAGACGACAAAGTTATCGCGAAAAGACAACATCAAATAGACGCGGCCAAAGCTAGCCTCGCTTATGCTCGTTACTCGATGCTAGTAGCCAAAAACCAGAGAATAACTGATATGCCTCAAACTCCGAATAAGTTTATGAAAACAGACACAGATAGTTGGATGGAAACTATTAAAAAGTGGGTCAAGCAATTACGAGGCTGGCAATTCCCTGGAGCTATGTCCTTACCAAGTCCAGTTTGGGTCCCTGATGAGAAGAGAGAGCAAGTGAGCTCTCCTACACCTCCGTTACTTGATTATGAGAGCGAATCCTCCGTGGAGTCACGTAAAAAATATCGGCCAAAACGAGATATTTACTACGAGAAGAAAATTGAGCGAAAACGTAGACGTTCATTCACTCCTTCTCCCACAAGAGATCGTTCATACGCAGATAACTCGCATTATAAATACCCACGAACTTCTTCTGACAATTCTAAATACGGTCCTAGAGGTTATACCAAGAAAATACACTATGAGGCTTTCTCAAACAGTGAAGATTTTATAACCAACTCGCCTAAAGTAGAAAGGAAGGTTTCGTACGTGAAAGATTATGGACCACGTTTTACTCACTCAACACGAGAGGATAATTACAATTCGAAAGAAGATCTACGTTACAAAATGAAGTATAACAATTCAAGTCAGAATTACAGGAGTTATAGAAATGATCATGAGCGTAGATCTTATACAAATATTTCCTGGAGTCCTGATAACTCACCAGTGAGGCAAGGGCACTCAAACACACACTATTCGCCTTTCGGAAGGCCGAGGAGTACGGATGGAATTCCTCGAGACCGCATGACCAGCCCGATTACTCCCCCTTCACTACGGAAAGAAATGACTCCAGAATTTGACATACCCGGGCAACAATGGGAGATGGAAAACGAACTGGTGCTATTAGACGATGTTTGACATGAAATTACAAAGCAGAAATACAAATGAATTGCTATGAATTTACTGATAGAATCGAATGCTAGTGCTTTATAGTTCGTAGATTAGTCTCTAATTACTCCTGATTATTAACTTGTTTGTTTCACAATGAAGCAAGTCAAATAAAGAATTATCTTTATCTTTGGTACATATTGAAGACAAACCTAAGCACTTAATAGTTTGTTAAAAAGTGTGTTTATATTTATTTGAAACGGCTTATTTGGCTGATTTACTATCAGATATTTATTTGATCGTTTACAAAATCACTTTTTATAGTACCGGAATTTGTGTACAGTCAACTCCCGTTATATCGAAGGGACCGCGATAATTACTTCGATATAACCGTAGTTCAATATAACCAATAAAATGTATATATGTTACTTTGACTGTTTGGGACCATATTTGTACATTTTCACTTCAATATAAGTGGGTATTTCCATATATTCGTGTCTGATATAACTGGAGTTGACTGTATTTAATAATCTTATTTGTTCAATGTTAGTATACACTTTTTCAAAGTTTTTATCCAAATTGCCATGGAGAAAGATGCAGTACTATGTCATCCTCAACGAACAGACTTACGTGAACATTTCTATAAGTTCATCATGGATATATCACCTCATTTGCATGTAAGTCTCCTCGCGAAATACATGCAAGATTCTTTGAATGGTCATAATAGTACGAAGTTAATGGAAAAAATGACGAATATCGATTATATGAAACATTTATACAAACTTGGACTAATCCATCCTCGAAATATCGACTATATTTTAAACTTTGCCAACTACACGCGAAATGAAAACCTGCAGCATCATATAGTTTTGTATTATAGCGTAGTAGACGTTAGAGATGATTTGCTAATAGATGTTAATACGAAGTTCATGCTAACTAATGATAATCCCGGTTCCAGACAAAGTTATTCACTTCCCCCAAGAGATGAAACCCGCGGTTATTCTAGCCAAACACAACCCTCCCATCTCCCTAACACTCAACTAATCTATGGGAATGAACCTCAACCTACTATCGCTACTAGAAGTGTTTACAATGACAACCAAAGGCCACAAATTGAGCAAGTTCATGAAGTTTTTCACTCACAAGAAGAAACCACTCAACCGTTCATATACCCTGTTGTGTTTAATCGTCCGCACGGATTTTGTGTAGTGATAAACAATGAAGTATTCACTTCAACTTCCGGTTATGTACTCAATTCAAGGATTGGTACTTCAAAGGACGGGGAACAGCTTGTGGATGCATTCAAATTCTTGAATTATAACACTGACTTATTCGAGAATTTATCATCACGGGAAATAATGGATTGCTTAAATTCTTATGCAAAAGCAGATCATACAACTTTCGATTCTTTCGTTTGTTGTATTTTGACTCATGGCAATGCAGGCAGTATATTTGGTTCTGATTCTGTTGAGATAAAATTGAATCAAATTTTCGATTTATTCCAAGTTAATTCAGCTCATACATTATCCGGCAAGCCTAAAATTTTCGTTATACAAGCTTGTAGGGGTACATATATTGATCAAGGCTCGAAAAATCTCGTGAATGCTGCAGGTAAATACTTGGACGAATTGGAGGTAGAGGAAATTTCCCAAAATGAAAAGCCTGAATCCCCAATTCTAAGCAATAAACATTTGCCACTCTTCTGTGATTTTTTGATCGCATACAGCACCGTGCAAGGCTACGTAGCTTGGAGGCATCCTGATTGGGGCTCTTGGTTCATCGATATTCTCTGCAACAAATTGAAACAACATTTTGATAAAAATCATATTGTGGACATTCTTACGTTTGTAAACTTCGATATGTCCCAGAAGAAAACGGGAGATGGGAGTAAACAGATGGCTGCACCTGTGAATTCTATGAAGGGTCTTTTCTACTTTAAACCACCCGAATCTATTCAAGCTAACTATATTTAAATAAACAAAAATCTTTGTTACAAATATTGTTCTCAAGTTTCATATGATTTTGGATATTTTGTTAAAATTTTGTTTTATTGGAAGAATGTATTGTAATATTTACTGCATTACTTTGGGTGACATGATGTCAATTACAGTGGAACTTGCATTTTAGTGGCTACATGAATGCAATCCCGAATCACGACCCTGTCAACTTCAGTAAACTCAAGTTATAACTAAGTCGGATATAACGAAGCTCGCGTTATAATGAAGTGATTCATTACCCCCCTATAGCTTGAAAGTAAAAGTTGGAATCTTTAATAAATGTTATGTGAGGCAAAAAGGAGGATTGCATATATCACAGATGAGTTGGTGTCTCTTCTAGGAATCGAACCTAGAGCTTATTTGCCCAGAAAATAAATCATACCATTAGACTAAAAAGACGAAGTAGTGATATATTTAGCCTCCTTAAGTGTATACCAATTTTATTGTACTTATATACTATGCAAGATTGTATTAATTAATAGAAAGGGTTACTTTCAATCACATTATTTCCAATAGAAATTAGAATTGTTTCATTATTTGTATATGCTATCACACAAGAAATTGGCCCTCTACCAACTTTCATTTATTAAATTCATACACAGGAAGACAAACGTATCGCGAAATAATATGAAACGGAAGTTATCAACGGATGAACAAATGATTGAACCAACAGCCAAAAAAACAAAGAAAATATTTGACTTTTCACTTTACAATTTACGGCATGTAGCATTCAAAATTGCCTATCTCGGTCAAAACTATTCAGGTTTCGCTATACAACCACATGAGAAAAACACTATTGAAGAGGAGTTATTTAGAGCTTTCATTGAATGTAAGTTAATATCGAGTAGAACAACATGTAATTATTCACGTTGTGGACGTACAGACAAGGGAGTAAGCGCAGTTGGTCAAGTAATAGCATTACATGTTCGTTCTAACCTCAGGGAAGGTTTAGGTATAATTCCTCGAATTGAAAATACTACTGAAGGAGTGGAAGATAGAGTTGAATTGCCGTATGTCAGAATGTTACAAGCTAAATTACCAGATGAAATACAAATACTATCATGGGCACCTGTTCCTATTGATTTTTCAGCTCGTTTTTCATGTCTCTTCCGTAGTTACAAGTACTATTTCCCTAAAGGAAATTTTGATATCGAAAAAATGCAGGAAGCTGCCTTGAAATTCGAAGGTGAACATGATTTTAGAAATTTTTGCAAACTAGATAACGCAACACTCCGCGATTTTAACCGCCACATCCATAAAATAAGCATTCGCACTTTAGACTCAAACTCACAGAATGTGTTTAAATTTTGCGAACTGAATATAACTGCTAAGTCATTTTTATGGCATCAAGTAAGGTATATGATGGGGGTATTAACGCTAGTCGGACAGGGCAGGGAATCCCCTGACGTCATCGATTATCTACTGGACGTGGAAGCTTGTAAAGCAAAGCCTAACTATTCGCCGGCAACACCAGATGGATTAATACTATACGATTCAGGATTTGAAGATATTAATTGGGTAGATAGCTCACTACATATTTCCTGTATTATAATACGGCTACAGAGGTTATGGGTAAAGAAATCCATTGAAGAATGTATGTTGAGAGGAATCATCGACTCAATTGACCCAAGCAAAATTAAAGAAGAGGAAATCAAGCATTTCAATTTATCTTTTGACCCTGTTACGAAATTTCCTATTTCAACACTTGCAAATGAAATAAATTCAGATATATCTTCGAATAGGTCAAAGTATACGCTTTTGAAAGATAGGCCAATTCTGAAGGGAACAAGCTTTGAGGAGAGAGTGGATAGAATAAAGAAAAGAGGAAAATTGAAAAACACGATACCTCAACAAACTAGCAGTAACGATTAAGAGAAAATATATTTATCATAATTATTTTCATTAAACATCTTCCATTCTTCGAATTCTTTTATATACATCAACTAATACAGCGGTTCCCAACACCCGTGGACACTTTTACCAACTATAACACATTCTGAGGACTCCTTGCTATCGTCCGTGTGCCATCAATGTGTCTATAAACCCAGGTTGGGAACCACTGAACTTCCTGCAAAATCTCATATAATGTTAAATAGTACACAAATTTAATCTAACAATGCAGAAATTTTCCACCACAAACACAACTATTATTAATAGACAAACAAAATTATTTATTTATTTATTTATTAGTGAAGTTAATCCTTCATGAAATAGTACAACTACTTGACGAATCATATTCAGGTGTTTTTGGTGATAAACTATCATCTACTGACGTCATAGAAACAGCCTCAATACGATTTACTTTTAATTCATCAACATTTTGGTCAGATAAATAGTTTTGCATAGATTCCAGCAGTTTCTTCATACCCAATAGAAACTCGACATATCCATTACAATTATGAAACGCCCAAATACTAATATCATGTAATCCTTCTGAAATACCTTTGACTCGATTCTGTCCCAATTGATCAGCTGATCTCATAACAGCTGATACTGTTTCCACTACGCTATGTTTGTCTAGTAGTAAAATGCCTGTCAAAATATGCCATTCATGGCAATCAGATTTCGAGAATATTTCTTTGTAGAATTTGATTTCTTTCTCGCAATGTTTTAAGTCAACGGAATTGTTCTCACCTTCCTCGCTCAGTTCCGCGAAATGATCCTCACTATCTAGATAGGTAGTGACCTCTACTTGGTCCATTTCTGATCGGAAACAAGACGCGACTTTTGGTAGAGAATACCCTGAATCTGATCTAACTTGTACGTTCTTTGTTGAAACAGATGACGTCATTGACAACGTATCAATCTCCCTTTCATCATTGAACTCTATTTCATTAAAATAATTTTTCGGACTCTTCACATTAGTATTTGAATCTTGTCCCATTGACCTTTGACCTGGCATTGGCCATTTAAATAGTGTATGTAGCTGTAGGAGAGCATTTGAGTAACTTTCTATTTTGATATGGAAATAATCCTCGTTTTTCAACCAGTTCACCAATGAGAAATTTAAATTCGATGACATTACAGCTAATTCTCTGAGATTTAAGTTAGTTAACTGTCTACGTGCATGTCTTCCCAGTACTTTCTCTACAATATCCTCTTCCTCCCTGATTTCTAAATTCGCCATGAATTGAGGTCTGGGAATCTTTTTATCATCAGGTGTGTTTTGTGGTTGATGTGTTTTCTTGGGTGTAACTCTTGGTGGGACGGTCTTTTTCGGGAAATCAATTTCATGATCAGTCGTCTGTAATTGCACATTACCGATTGGTATTGAAACTTTTGGAGATATCGGTGATTGTGGGAGTTCATTTTTCGCGATTGCTTGAATGAATTGTATAAGATTAGTGCAAAGGGGCCAATTACTACTTTCAAGACAAGCATTTAGTATACGTCTAACCAGTCTGTAAGCGACAGCTGGTTGTTCTATAGTCTCTACAATTAGTAGGTAGTTAGCAGCAATTTCTAAGTTGCCTTTCTCCATAGCTAACTCGAAAAGTTCTTTCGGCTTTCCAGCTGCGCCGAATAAATATGTCCACACAGCAATTTCCGTTTTACGCGCACACTCACCAACAATTTTTATAAAATTAGGGAATGGACGTATCAGCTCGATAACATTAGGCAAGAGTGCGTTCGCCGTTGGTGCGCCTTGAGCCGCCTCCTCTTCCAATACGCTATGTATCAAATGTTCTAAAATATAATCGAAATGTGGTAAGTCCGCACAGGAATACGTTATCCGCATAGCGTGGCTATTTAGATTCCTCTTCAATAGTTGTTTTAAAATCAACGATACTGTCAACTGTATATTTCTCCGTGGTAGCGAATAAGCTACAGATCGTTTTATCTTATCATAATGCAGCTGGTCGCATTCAATTCCAGCGATAGTTCCATCTTCAAAGAGTACAGATAATGGTTGTATACGCGTGTATATAGTTAGCATGATCCATTTGGAAAGATATGATGGATTACGTGGATCTTCCTGTGGGTATAACGGGAGCCATATTTTGAGTCCTGCTTGTCCACATGCTAACCACAGGGCTTGTGATAAATACGGTCGACTTTGTGTACCTAGTCCAGGAGGGAGATACGGGTAGCTAAACACTGTTTCTACGCCGGAAGCTATGCAAACTGGACTCAAAGATTTGACTAAGTTTTTCTGTGAATGTAAATCATAATGTGATACTATCTGTAACATCATTAGATAACCTTCTACGTTTATAAGTATAGAAGCTAAGCCAAATTCATTGACAGGTGACAGTACTTCAGTTTGTACAGTTGACATTGAAGCGGATATTATATTATACGGCGACCAACCATATTCTTCATATGAAGTATTCAGTATTAAATCAGTAGTTAGTGTGTTCTTGTTACCAAGCTGAGTTTTGGAAAGATGGTAGATTAATAGTTTATGATTAGCAGTCAGTACTAGTAGATTATCAAGATATACATCAAGTATACATACACGTTGCGGAAAGTTGATTTTCAATAGAGTTTGGCTGTCTTCTAATTTTTCATGTAACGAATTGAAAGTAATATTATTTTTCTGTGAACTGTTTGTTGTAGAGCTGACCACCAATATCTCATTCCACCAAGCTATTCCTCCGTTACACCGGAAACTCATCTCTTGAGTTTCATTTACATATAGTTTCCATTTATTTTTGCTGTAATTACACATGCATAGACCGTTTGAACCAGCTACAGCAAGATATTTGTAACGCTCATTCAATGCAACCATTTTAATAGGCCAATTCTTCATTATGTAATTACGCTCAACTTGGATAATATTGCAAAAATGCATATTTTGTTGATGCTCGATTTCGGTCTTACAGAATGTTGATTTAGGATAAATGTACACTGTAGTTGGACTATGTAGTATCACATTTTCTTGATTGGAGAGGATAGGTAAGAAGGATAAGGCGCTTTTAAGAAAGTTGAAAACAAGAAATTCATTTAATCTAAATGAGCCATGAGAATTTACCTGACGGAGTAACCATAATGAGTATCCATCTTTCGTCCAGTTTATAGGTCCAAGGTGCGGATTTGCATTCATATCAAGCTCATCATAAGTTGAAATCAGTGATCCGAAAACTGAAAATATACTGAGAAAACCGTTCATCCAAAGCACAGCTAATACTTTCTCATCGCCAGTAGACCACTGCAGAGAGAGAACCTGATTATTTGTTGATGTATTCTCATCTGGATTATCTAGAATATGAGAGTTTTGCCAATTCCCAGAATCAACATCTTGCTTCCATATCTGAACCTGACCAGATCTACACCCAATAGCTGCTATCTTAAATTTGTAATTAATAGAAATGTCAACTGCATCTATGATACCTTTGAAATAATACAGTTTAGTTGAGTCGTTAAAAAACGCGTTTATATCTGAACTGGCTAAGAAA